AATGAATCCACTCCTGTTAATTATTTAAATTTTCATGTTCCTAGAATGGGCAGCATGGTGGCGGAGCTGACCAAAATCAGACTGCTTGCTTCAGATTGAACAAGAAGACATCGCTGAAGCCCTGGAGCTCAAATGTTTACAGAGAAGTTACTAAACTTCATCATGATTCATGACCAACAACTATCAGTTGTAGAAAATGAAGGATTTCACAGCTTGATACTTGCAGCCAAGATATAGTTTACCCTCCAGGAGATATTTATCAGTACAACAGTAGACAATCATAAAAAACATATGATTTCAAAATTATATTAAAAACACAAACAGCTACATTATAAAGTGATGTAAAATACTAAAAACAGGAACATGTCTGTTGGTTTAAGCCATGAACTTAGCAGGTGTTTGAAGCCATTTAACATTTTATTTAATTCATTTATTCATTCATTTAAAAGAAACAAAACAAATTAATCAAAAAGAAAGCACTGAATGAAAAGAGTACAGAAAGAAGAAAAATCTTATATCTGCCCCTTATTTAAAAAATATAAAAACTTTAAACAATCACTTAAATTAATCACTTCAATATCCACTTTAAAGCTAGGAATAAAAAGAAACACGTTTTGTGTTAGCAGAATTTAATTCTAACTTTAAAACATCCAACATTAATAAAACTTACCTCAAGTTGCCTTTTTGGACATGCATGAATATATTTGTACAAATTGTACTTGAGAGGAGATTATTACAGCCTCATAGAAAATCAATGATGATCATGATATTGGAACTGGATCGTATCGGCCGATATTTAGATTTAGGTATCGGGATCGGATCGGAAGTAAAAAAAAAAAAGGGGGGGGGGGGGGGGGATCGGTGCATCCCTAATTCCAACCAGGTTTGTTGGAGCAAGACGTCCACTAAAACATCCAGGACGGTGTCCCTTGAGCACCACTGGAGACACCACTGTGCTGAAGATTTTTTTCCTGTTAAAATGAAGTTATTCTTTCCCACTGTCACTTCATTGCATTTCTCAAAATGGGAGGTTGCAGATTTGACCAGTTTCCTTAGATCAGGTGTGCCAAATCCCTGCCCTGGACAGCCTCTATCCTGCATGTTTCAGATGTTCCTCTGCTCCAACACCTGATGTTAACTAATGGCTTATTAACAGATTTTTACAGAGCATGAAGAAGTGATTTTAACCATTGAATCAGGCGTGTTGAAGCAGGGCAACCGGTAAATGTGCATTATAGTGGCCCTCCAGGACTAGGATTAGACACCCCTGTCTTAGACAGCTTATTCCTGAATGTATTTGACTTGATAGCCCTGTAGATTTGTTCAAGGTGACCCTACTCAGATCTTCTGGAGGATGCTTCAGGTTCCTGTGTCCGTGAATAGGATAACCAAAAATCAGTGCGTTTGTTTCTTGTTTTTACTGACCTATTTCCTGTTCTGTCTCCCAGGGTTTCTCAAGGGCCATGAGTGGTTTCATTCAGCTTGGCCTGATCAACACTGAGCCCAGTCCATCCCTACAGAACTCTTTATCATCTCCAGTGTCCTGGGTAAGAAGCTCAGCTTGAAAACTGCCAAACCTGGGATTTAGAAGCCTTTGCGTTAAGCACTCTGCATCTTTCTGCTCCGTTTTAATGAATTTATTCAACATTTTACTGTTGATTAAATTCTAAATGACTTCTATTGCTGCATCAAGGTCTCTGTGATCTCAGGCCTCCTGACTCTGAAGAGTTTACTGCGAGCTGTTTGTCCTCTTTTGTTCCTTTGAGAGGGCTCCAGAGCTGCATGTTCAGGTGCTCAGAGAGCTGAAGCTTTTACATCCTGCTCATCATTCTCAAAACACTCAAAGCTTTTAATTGGATATGAGATGTAAAACTAAACGATTAATTGCAGAACACAAAAATAAAAACAGCAGAGTGCCCCGTTTTTAATTTATTATGAAAAGAGTCAGAAAACTTCATGAAATCAGGACAAAACACAGTCAAACCTAAAGAGGAGACAAACTACAACCTGTCTCTGCAGGTAACATCAGAAGTTTACATACACCATGTCATTGATTGGTTTAAACTTTTTCCAATACTTACACAACTTTAATGCTTTTGAAGAACAAGTAGATACACAAGATTGCATTTATTGTGTTTTTAATCCACAGAATCAAAATTATACATGAAAATTCAAATAATCCACAATAATAAGTTTGGCTAGATGTCCCTTCAACCAGAATCTCTGTGTTCACACTCTGAATTAATAGAAAGTCTGTGGTTTTTGTTCCAAGTCTCTTAATTTATGTTAGCAGCCACGTCTGAGTGTTTAATGTGTCTGTTTTTACAAAGCCAGCAGCTGTGCTGCCGCAGCAGTTTTAGGAAAAAGTATAGCCTGTTTGTGTGCAACACCACACGGTGCAGGGTTTCCTCTAGAATTTATTTTAACCACGGTGATGGGCTGCCTGTGGTGTGTGTGTGTGTGTGTGTGTGTGTGTGTGTGTGTGTGTGTGTGTGTGTGTGTG